CAAATAAACTAACTCAGTTCGTCGCAGTTCGGTGATCTGGAACTTTAGTGGGGAGGTTTGGTTGGTTAGTTTTGGTTAAACTTCAAAGTATGCACAACTCTAACACAGGCTTTTCTTGCCCTTTTGCTAGGGGGACCCAAAACGGGCTGTGCCTGCGTTGAGTTTCCAAAACGCTTTCACCTGTAGTGGATGGTAGGCTTTTGGCAACCGAACGGCGCCAGTATGCGTTTCTGCTCTCCGCTCTAAGACTGCAGTGAGAGCCCTAACGGTAGCAGGTGCCACCAACGGCTTTTGGTAGCGCGAGGAAGAAGCTGCTTCTGAAGCAAAGCCTAGCTTAGGGCAGGTGTCTTAATTGGCTACAATGGCAGGTGTGTCTTTTTTAATTGCCGGCTGCTGGGCTTTTATGTGATCATTCCGTTGTGAGGGCAGGGGGAGTAGTTCTTGTCTTGGGTTTATGTTAAGAAAGCTGGAAAAGCAAGTCCTGCTTCAGCTTTAATTTATAAAGGATTGTTCTCGGCATAACCTGCACCTCTTCTTCTACTGTGCAGATTCATTGTGAAACGCTTGAGAATGAGTCAATGAGAAATTAGTAGTAAACCACATACCGTAAGCGTTCAGTGTTACCTAAGGAAGACGCGATATTCTACTGCGTGCCTCTGAGGGAGCTGGTAAGTGAGAGTTTAGGCCTTTATGAGTCTGTGGTTTGTGAAACTGCATTTTGTCTCTTCTGATATCGCTGTTGGTCGTGATTAATCCAAGGCCACATCAGAACTAAGAAACCGTTTCAAACTCTGAAGTACTAAGTGAATTGTAACACCACCACAGCAACGTTTCCATTCAATGCCATCTTCTTTTGATGCATACCTGAAAAAAATACCTTGCTCATCTAATGCTCCAGCAACACTTCAAGCTGGAGCGATACTGACAGTACAACAGAGACAAGAAATGCACAACTATAGGTGTGGAAAATGTAGGCAAAAAGATGAAATAAAGTACTTTTGCTTTCAGGAGTGTGGGAGAAAATCCTCTAGTGCTTAGCATTCATCATGAATTGTATGGGTGTCTTCTTAAGGCAAGAAGAGAAATGATAAATATCACATAGGGAAATCTTGATGTATGTAGCTTATGTATTGTAGCACCTGAGATGAAAGTTGAGAATGACTTGAGATTTCTTTCAAATGTGGAACTCTGTTGTGAAATACTTTCTAATTTAAAATATCTATAGTCTCAAAACTGTGCTGGCATCTACAGCATAAATGCTTTCTAATTTGGGCTCTGGTTTGTGCCTGACATTATTATTATTTTAGTAATCTAAAGAGAAAACATGGCCAAACATAAAACATTCCATGGGCAGCCATAGGATTTTTTTTTAACTTGTAAATTGCTTTGATGTGCATCTTATCTTGATAAACTAACATACTTAATTTAAAAAGAGAAAAAAAAAACCAAACTTCAGCTACCTTATTCTGCAGCATGCCTCTCATTAGCGCGTCCTGAATGTCTTGGAGGCTCTAGAGCTTTTCCTTTCTAAAGTTAAGATTATGACAGAAAACATTGTTCAGTTTGACAATAAAAAGGTTACAATTGGCTTGTGCTTGGAAAAGTGTAAGATGAGTTGCCTTTTTGTAAATGGAGGCCAATCAACAGTACAAATCCCTGCTTGAAGCTGCCATCTTGTTTGGAAGTCCTGCACTTGATTTGTCCTTTGGCTTACAAGCCAAAAGCTTTTTTCAACTTTGTTGAGCTGTGGCACAACCAAACTTTAGGAATGCTGTATGTGTTTTTGTATTATTAGAAATAAAGAATTTGGATGCTCTGTTCTGTCTGAAACTCTCATGGTCATTACCCTAAATGAAAAAATACATATATAGTGTTACCGTCATGGTGCGAATTCATGTCTTTCTGCCTCAGACAGACAGATACTATTTTATATATTATGTTATGGCCTCTGATTTTTATTGTCTGAAAGAGAATCCAGCAGAATGTGATGAAGTGGTTCTGGGAGCTGGAGTAAATGTAAATTAAGTAAATGTAACATCCTTCTAGTACGTTTGGGAGTTTTAAGCAGTTTGTTCATCTCTGCTTTCGTTTTTCGGCAGTTAAAACTGGTTCAAAAAACATAAAACTAAATAAAAAATGTTATTCATCTCTTTCACAGAAATAAAAAATATTAAGTCTCTGATGGTTGGAGGACAGTTACATCTTGTGTCCTATTTCTACTGAAACAGCTGCAGGGCGTTCTAGTTTGTTACAGTCTCTTGTGACTGTAAACAAATATCTGTCCTCAAATGCAATGCTTTTGTTGATTGGTAACTTAATTTATTTTGGGAATGGAAAGGCAACTGATGTCGAACTTATGGTGTGTGGCTATTTGCATCTCACAAAGAGGAGGATTGGGAACTTTGGCAGTGGCTAGTTTCACAAATGTTTTCTTGTTTAGCGTGACTTTTTCCTGAAAATAGGTATTTCTCTAGATGACAAGAACGTACTTGCTTAAACACATTGCTTTTTCATCTGCCTTTTCCCGGTATTTACAGTTGTTATAATAATCAAGTATTGACAAAAATCTGTGCATAGTGTCCAAAGTGATGAAGAAGTTATCCACGGATGGCTTTACCAACTGTGACTATTTTTCCCAGAGGAAGCCTTTCTCAACCAAGAAACAATATCTCATTTTTGAAGATAGGGTATAGAAAACTGATAGGTAAATAAGGCAAACTGTGAATGCATTCGTTTAAAATAACGTCATCCAACATTCTGCTCAAATTTGCTCAAGAAAGTGGTGCCATCAAAGCTATAAGCTAGGAGTTCTTGGCTGCTGGGGCTATGCACTGCGCTGTAGAAAAGTTATCTCCGTTGATCTGCTGAGATGTTGTCACCTTTTTATTGGAACAGATGTTTGCATTTGAGGTATCTTGTTACCCCACGTATTGCTGACAAATAATATCTTAATGCTTTTTAGTCAGTAATTTGTGAACCCAGTTGTAGATTAGAAATGTATCTTTCCATCCTTCTGTAAAATTTCCCAAAGTTAAATTTTCCCTCCCCTTTTTGGCTGGGCCATCACTTTCCAGCAGTTCTGTAAGCTGCCATAACCTAGCTCCATTTTCAAGATGTGGTGGTGGTGTCATTCCCAAAGCTAACTAGCTCTTGGTGTCTGATTCTGGACGATCCCTCTGTATGTTGGGGCTCCTTGCTGCTTATGTTCCTTGGTTCCTATGATCTTTATTTCCAACAGCAAGGCTGTTGAGGCTGTCTTGTCCTTTGCTGGCTAGCATCATGTGCATAGTGCCCGTGTACTGACTGCCAGCTTTTTATTTCAGCATAGGTGTCACTTTAGTCACGTATGTGAACTGATGAAATCGTGGATGATCAACTTGATGCCAGCAGACTTGACGTGCGCTGTTATGTTTAAACCAAAAGATATCATGACAATGTGAGCTTCTCCTGCTTTGCCCAAATCCTCATTAACTGTAGAAATTACCTATAGCAGTAAAACTGGAGTTTGGTTTTTAGGATTTTTGGTCCTTGGTCTTAAAGCTTTCAGCTGATAGCAGAAGGCAGTAATAAGTTTCCTTACCAAGCTGAACTAATTTTATTTTGAAGTTGAGACAACAGGATATGTGTAAGTGATTTCAAAAATTGAATAGAATTAATTGTAGAAACTGTTCATTGATTGTTTTTCTGTAAACAAACAGCTTACCAAGGATTATGATGCATATTTTACAGTAATTTAAAACTCATCACTGGATTTTCTTTTCATTTAAAAAGAAACCAGTAATGTTTCCGTTTATGAAAGAGTCACTGAAGGAGCTTTCGCATACAATTTGCAGGCTTCCGTTCCAACACTTTCCTCTTATTAAGCCTCAGTTAAAGGGTATTGTCTGTTTTCATGTTTTATTTATGATATGAAAGACTATGTTTTTCTAAAGCTGCCAGGCTGCGCGTAAAGTAGTTGGAGAGAGCGGATGTGGCTTTCAACAACGTATTGACGAGGGGATAGGTAGATAGATATTGTAGTATTGACATAGGAAATGTCTGGACTATGCCGATCAAGAATGATGTAGCACTTATATCCAAACAGTTTAATATAAGAAATATGGGCTTTGTTTGGTTTATATGTGCAGTTATTTTTGTTTGGGGGGCGGGGGGGAGGGCTCGAGATATTAACAGACTGTACAAAGTATTCTGCTCCAGTTCCAGAAGAACTATCTTCAGACAATAGCGAAATACTGCTTATTAACAGGCTGACTTCATTAATGCTTCATAACTGTGTTATGGGAAAAATTAATTGCAGTATTGCCCTTTCAAAGTGCTGTGTGCTCTCTGTCCTGGTACAAATCCATCACAGTTCAATGCTGCAGCCAGAGGAGTCTGTAACTGTGGGGAGGCTTATCAGCGCTGGTGCCAGGCAGTAACTGTTCTATTGCGATCACATTGATTTTTAGATCCTGGGTGTGGAATAGTCTCTGCATTGCCCTGTTTGGAACAGACTGATAAGGCTCCTTGTTTCTTAGCAACCACAGTCTGCCATAGCCAGAAACCTGCCCCTCTGCAGCTGGAGGGAAAATTCTGAATGTCTCAAATTTGTACCTTTAACCAAGGTAAGTCATCCCCCTTTGGCATATTTAATCAAAGGCCTTTGCATTCAAATAAAAGGAATGTTTTGGCAGAAGTTCCTTAGCAAAGGGGAAGCCTAACTTCTCTGTCATTAATAAGACATTCTGATTTCTTTCCCTGTTCTTATTTAGACCTCTGTCATTCCTGGGCATGGAGGTGCCATATGTCCTTCTCCTAACTAAACTTGTAGCAGAAGTTGCCAGCAAATCTACTGAAAGTTCGGTAGGTACTTCTTCCTTGGTGATGCTAGGTGCCCTAAAAACCAAAGGGTCAGATTTTTCCCCTTCATAACTGCAGTTTATAGAAGGCTTTCTAATTCAAGGGAAGCGAATGTAGCCTGTATTTCCTGTAAATATCAGCATTCAGTTTTCATTTTTCTTCAAGTGGTATTTTGAAGATTAGTTCA